TAGGGTGGATCACAAGCATCAGAAATGCCAGCCTTATTGAGAGACATCTTTGGTATTTATTGGGAGTGGGAAGAGTTAGTTCATGCCCAAGCACATGCAACAGGTGCTGATGAAGCGACCCTGTGCCTAAAGCTTTTTTTCTTCTTTTTGTCTCCAGAAACACACCTGCTTTTCTCTTCTTTTTTTTTCTCCTCTCTCTCACGTGAAATCTCCACTTGAGTTAGCTCTACCACAATGTAAGTGCAGATTCTAGTGCCAGTAAGTGTTCAGATTCTAACTTGAAGGATGGTCTCTGCAAAAAGCCCAGCACTTTGTGCTGGTGGGAGTATAATAGCGCTGCAAGGATGCCATTATCTGCAGCCATCTCCATATCCTTCACTGGGATGAGCATGAGAGCTCCTGTGTGTGGTAGGTGCTGCCTGCTGTAGGTCTGTCCTTAAGAGGGCATGGCAGCAGGTCAGTTTTGTGAGCAAAGCTGAGCTGCGCTCTCCCTGCGAGAAGTGATTAGGCAAGAATGTCACTGCTTTCACTTCCAAGTTGCAGCCTCTTCATTAAACAGGCTACTTGCTGAGTCCTGATCAGTTCAACCCCTTGGTTTCTGACATTGTTCTGTTTGAGAACAGTTGTCTGGTGAAATGAAGCCTACCAACAAGCAGTTGGCTTTCATTTTGCAACCATGCTTAGAAGCCCCTTCAGGGAGCCCCCAGGAGCCTGATAACCTTGGATAAAAAGCAGTACTTTAGACTAGGGAGCAAGCAAAAGTTGTTTTGGGGGATGAGGCTGTTGGCTTGTTGCAGTGCTGGCTTTTTAGAAGTACGTATAGTGGAGAATTGGGTTGAGAGATTCACTGCATATAGTTTGGCTCGTGGGTCTAGGAAAAAGCGCTAGGAAAATTAATAAGAAAGAAGGGGGAAACTTGCTCTCCACTGCCTTCCCCTGCATGAAGCAGTTGCTCTAAAGTGATTTGATTGTGCTAGCCAGGAGTTCAGCTTTCATGTGTGAGTATATGGCACTTCTGGAGCTTGCAGTACTTTGTGTGTTTGCTAGCTTTTATTTCTCTGTGCTAAAACCTCATACTTTATCCCTCACAAGCTGTGCAAATGCCTGGAGTCTCCTGGTTTAGACTCACTTTCCTGAACTGTGCGTACAAAGGAGGCCTGTTAGTGGTCCTGTCTACCAAGGAAAGCTTGTAGGGTCCAGGATTTACCTTCTTCCTTGGAACCTGGTCACAGAAGAAGAATGCAGCTTGGGTGTCCCTGAGGGTCAGCTGCTCTGTGAGGTCTGCTTGGTGTGTGCCCCTGGGAAGTTAGTCCTGGGCTCTCCTTGGGATCCAGGTGGTCCCAAGCAATGTGTCACTGGCCTTGGAACTCCCCCCAGCTCAGTATGAGCTCGGAGCTGTGCTCTGCAGAGAACCTCCAAATGAAGGTGAAAAAATGGGGTTGTCACTTCACTTTGAGACTTTTGTAGTAACATTTCTTTGCATCTGTCTGGAATCTGCACAATAAATACTGGATGTCACCTGACATCAACACTTGTTCCCTATGGAACAACATGTCTCCCGTCACAGCTGACAGGAGATCTTTGTCTGTGGCCCTGGACTGCAGTTGTCTAAGTCAGTAGCTCACAGGCTATGGTCTGTAGATCCTCAGTTGCCCATGAAAGTGTTCCAGGAATCAAGTAGGCTGTGAGAGTAAGATGTCTCTTTGGAAATGGCTGGGGAAAATGGGCAAGGGAGACTTGCCTCTTGAAGCCAAGCAGTGGAAGACCAACTCCATGAGGCACTGCAGGGCATTTTGCTAAATATGCTGCTGATGAGCATACTCGAGATCAGTGGGGCCAGCCCTAAAGGAGTTTAGATCACTGCATTTTCAGGTTTGGAATGGAATATTCTCTTTGCAAAAACAATAATATATTCTCTGCCATCATGGACATGGGCCAGCAAAAGTCCTAAACCTTCCTTGCTAGCATCTGTATATAATATAAAGGGTCATTTATAATCTCCGTAAGCCATGATGGGACCTTTCGTCACTTTGTTTGAATCTTGCTTGGGTTTTGGAGACTGTTCTTACTGCCTTTTGGCTTGCAAGGAGAAATCTTGGGGCAGGTCAGTCTGTTGTCTTTCATCTTGGTCCTCGTGCTGTTAAATCTGCAATGAGGGCCATGTTGTGAACCCTCATGCATCTTGCTATTATCTACACTCTGGTTATTCTACCTCTCCTGCTGGCATGCCTGGTAGAAACCCAAGGCCTGAAAGGAGCATTTATAGGAAAGTGCTGCTAATTATGTGCAGCAAAGAGCATGATGTTTTGCAGTGAGAAGTATCTCTTGTTCCTGGGTGGGTACCTTTTGTAATTGAAGTCTTCCCTGTCTTGGGAAAGAAAGAATTTAGCAAAATCTGTGCTTGCATGAGATTCCCCAAAGGTCTCTGTGATTTGACTCTTCTTTGCCCTCCAGATCCATGCAGTGGTTCCCAGAACTCAACTTTTAGCTGCTTTAAGGAGTAGCCTGAGTGCTGAGGTGACAAGTGCTGTTTTATTAGCCTCTGATTAATCCTGCTGAAGAAAGTGGAAGTTGATTCTTATTCCTAGATAGAGCTGAACTATTTCTTCACTATAGTCCTGTTGAGACCTGCCCACCAGATGATAGCTTCAGGCTAGGAAATGGGTTAAACAAGAAGTTTGGGGCAGACTGTCATTTCCTGTAATGATTGCTCCCATTTATTGTGGGCCCCAGATTAGGTCATCTGAGGAAATGAACCCAGGAATGTGTATGTGTGTGTGCTGTTTCCTCCTCACCATGCACACACGCCATGTGCTGGCCTCCAGTATGTGAATTGGGATGTGGGAGCAGCCCTTGCCTCTCGCTGCTGCCCGGGGCTGTCGGGGTGCACAGGCAGCTCTGACTGGAGGCACCTCTGAGTGAAGGTCCAGAGAAGACGTTTCTGTGGTTAGCTACAGTGTTCAGCCATTCCCACAGTTCTTGATACAGGCAACCTGTGCTGTGCTACCTGCCTAGAACCAGGTCTATAGTATTAGGCTCAAGCAGACTGAAAATAGTCCTTGAAGGACCAAGCTGAAAGTGGACCTGGGCAGGGGAAGGTCTGAGGGGAATATCGGTTAGCTTCTTTAACTTGCAATTTGGACTTTCCATTACACATTAACCAGAGCAGATTCCCTCAGGCAAGCGGGACGTGTCTTCAAATGCCACTTCTTCCCCATGCATGCTGTGCTGGAGTGCATAGTTCATCGTTTCATTCCTTTTCCCTCCTTTTTGCCTTCAGGAATGCGAAGCTATCTGGTTTCAGTATCAGCTGTGCCTGGCTTTACTTCTAGCACCATTGCATTTTCTTGGTCTGACACAGAATAGTTTCTTCTTTCAGGGAAGCGGGAGAGTGCATCTCGGACAAGTCCATCCAAGTCAGGATTGGAGTGGAACAGTATCAGTGTGGGACAATCCAGCCGAACACAATGGAAACGGAGCCTTTTTTCCAAATGAATCTTTGTCATGGGAGAAGGTCAGGGTGCGCATATATATATATGCGCAAGCTATGTGACAGTTAAGGCATATTGTATATAAATATTCAGTCTATTTGGATTTCATTGACTAGCTGGAAGAATGTTCTTGATGTGAGAGCAAGTCTTCAAATAGTTGATGAATATGCTCGGATTTAGAATTTTTGGTAACTTTATTCTCAGTTTGTCAGTATCCAGGTCTGTTGCTGGTGTGCATAATATGGCACCACTTTTTCTCCTGTGGTTGGACCAATTCTTTGTTGCATGTTGAGAAGCTTGGCTTTAAATAATTTTGGGACGAATGCTTTTGCCGTTATCCTGTCATGTTCTGTATATGCATGGCTTGCTTTGCCTGACACAAAATGATTTTGTCCTGAGGCTTGTGCAGAAGGGTTGTGCAGTCCCTCAGACTCTGTGCTAACATGTGAGTTACCCCATGTATGAACGAGCAGAAGAAACTGGCTACTTGTCCTTTTTCCTGGTAGCTTTTCCTTTCATAGTCATATGGATATTCCCTATGGCACGAGTAACTGCTGGAGCAGTCCCTAGTGCCTGATTGCAGTATGCGTGCACTTGAAATTTAAAACAAAAGCTATCTCACTTCCCATCTCTCCTTCTGCCTTTTCCTTTTTGTTCCCTGAACTCTGTACCGAAGCTGTGCTGAGCAGGTTAAGGAATCTGCTATCCTCGTGATTGGAGGCCTTATGGCTGCAGGGAAGGTGGTCAAGGGAAGGCCACGTTCCACCAGGGTGCGGGATGCTTGGCGCTGGTGTGCAGTGCTGGGCAGTCGCTGTGATCTTTAGGGGAGAGGAGGTCCCTTGTTCTGGGTGCTTTTGTGTCATGGGGGCAGAGGAGCAGGCCACTTGCACGGCTAATTCCTGCCCATGCCTTGTGGTAAAGAAGTCTTATTTTCTCCCGTGAGAGAGCATAAGACTCTCTTCCCTCCTTGCCCACACTTTTGTGCCCATTTTGACACTGTCACCTTTCCAGGTTTGTTCAGCATCCAGCTTGTTTCAGCCCTGCTGACAGTGAATATCACCACACCAAAAAGCACGGTTTTCTACCTTGGATGTAGGAGTCTGTAGATGTATGGACTGATACCATAATGAACAGGATGAAATTAAGAACAGTACAATGGGAGCAGATCATCAGGAAATCTGGAGGACTTCCCCCCCCATACACACACCCATGAAGTCCTGTTGTTCATGATAACTAACAGAACTAAATTATGTGCTGTCAATCTCTTCTGAGAGCTGAGCAAGAAGCCTATTTGGATCACTTGTGATTCAGATTGGCAGGAGGCACGAGTCTCTCTGCAGCTCTTGGTTGGGGATGGGGGCAGTCTGGAAAATTAAGACTGAAAGCTGTCTTACTGAAGCAGACATTAAAAACTGTCATCTTTAGTCTTTTAAAATCTTATGTCAGTCTGATGCATGTTGGTGCTGCTTGCTGTGTCCCCGGGACTAACGGTGTCCTTTCTCTCTACAGGCATTGGTGTCACTACACAGTGACCCGGACAGTTTCCTGTCAAGTGCAGAATGGCTCAGAAACTGTGATCCAGAGAGTTTATCAGAGCTGCCGGTGGCCAGGACCTTGTGCCAATCTAGTGAGGTAAAAATCTTACTGTCTTATGTCACACGTACAATTTACGTTTTCACTTACATAGCACATTGCTCTTCCTGGAGAGATTTTTTACAAGCTGTTTCTCAGAATGACAGAGCAAGAATTCTATAGGATCATCCATTTCGGTTTCTCTGCTTTTGAAGACTTTATTGCTACAGGGTCAGTAGTAGAGGTTGGGGTTATGTCACGCAAGAGTTTGGCCTGTAGTTGATGTTTCCCAGTTTCAGAAGCAGTAAAGCCACAGGGAAACCCTTCTCTTTTCTTTCCAGTCAATTGAATAATAAATCCCAGAGCTTATTCCAGTGCATTAGGATTGCTATTTGAAATCTGTTACGTAGGAACTCTTTTATGTGTTCAGCTCCCTTATTTCTCTCCAAGCTGCAGAGTCACATGCTTGGAAAAGATGCCTGGCCTCCCACATGGCCAGGGCTTGCAGCAGGCTGGGTGATTCCACTGCATGCAGGACAGCAGTGATTGCAGACACCACACCAAGGTGCCTTCTCAGGCTTGGGCTGATCACTGCTTAGCATCAGCCATGTGCCACTGGTTTAAAGTGGAGGTAACTTCTCTATAATCCATAGGGAAGCTACATTATGCAATCTATGGCTCATAGGAGTCAGAGGACAGTTAAAATTGTCTGGAGTGAAGATGGTGGTTGTAATAATGTTCTTGATCACCTCGCTGAGAAGGGCTGTGTCTCCTATGGCAGTACCTTCCCAACAATTTCCAATCTCCCTCTTTACCAGGGTAGCTAAGTACTTCAAGATTCTTAAAACCTCAGATGTTAAAATCAGTTTTCAGAACATCCTGATTCTGCAGAGGAAACTTTAGGTTTGCACATGCCTGTTAATCAGGCTGAGCGTGCCAAAAAGTAGGAAAATTACAAAAAGCTTTGTTTTGATTTCTCTTAATGCCTGATTAGCACTTGGTTATAGCTATAAATGGATTATCCTTCTTCAGACACAGTGTAAGGTATAGGGATGAGTCCATTTCATTCCAAGTTGATTGATACCCCTCCTTATTGCCATGAGAGGAGTAGGTGAAAAAAACCCTTGGATTTCTTGGGTTTTGACGGAGTAGGTGGAAAAAACCCTTGGATTTCTTGGGTTTTGACTTCTTTATCAGTCTAAGAGTTCATTCCTCTTTATATCCCAAATCTTACCAAGAAGTCGTGTTGAACTGTGCAACCTGGGACTTGAATAAAAATGAACTGAAGCCTCTGAAGACCTCTGGAATCTTCTTGGACACAAACTGGGATGATTAAATAACACTAACAAAACCATCTCTTGTGTTGAGGAGCTGATGGCGGTCTCTTATAGCAGAGCAGCAGACCTTGGTCATTAACTTCTCTGCAAAGGGCTTGGAAGCCTGCTATTTAAAGGGGCTTTGTGTCCTGGGAAACAAAGAAGTGCAGGTTTGTGGCTCATCCTAACCTCTCCTCTTACTGTGGTTTTGCAGTATTTCTGTGCCAATGCTTGTGGTTTGGGTGACATCCAAGGGAAAGACTTTTCTAATCTCCTATCATCCCTTTTCCCAGGGATGCATTGTATTTCCCATCCCTATTCATTCTAAGGTTTTTTAACAGCTATCTTTTTCTTCTCCTTTTTCCATGTTTCTTTCTCTCCTCTAGCTTTTGAGCTATCGGAGACAGAGGTAATGCTTTGCTAAAGGAGTTTCTTTGTTCCCTTTCTGGAATAACGATCACAAAAGCTTGTGTGGTGGGATATGGTGATGCATGTGACAGCAGACTGTGGTGCCATGTGACATGATTGAGGAAAAACGGTGCTCTGAAGCACAGAGCAGCATTAGAACAAATCAGGGTTAGCAGGCTGGGGCTACTTTGTGTGCTTGACTTGCATGATGCTGAACAGAGCTGAAAACATAAGGACTCTTCCAGGAAATTCAGGGTGGGTGGTAGGCTGTGACAGCTGAGCTCCATGTTTGTCCTGTCTTGAAGTCCCTGCTCTTTTAAGGATTAAAACTATAGCTACTTCCCTGACGTAGAACCACTGCCAAGATTCCAGTCTGGCTCAAGCCACACTCTGCACTTCATAATGAAGCTTGAAAGAGCTTTAACATCTTGGTATTGGCAGAAACATGATTTTGAAATCACGGTGTGGTTGGAGACTAGCTGGCTCCAGCCACTGATAATGGGGATGGAGACTTTCATCTTGGGGTCAAATCTAAGTGTGGTGTTAGGGACAAAGTCATGAACTCTTGACTGTTGGTTTAGGACTTAAGCGTAGCAAGATGTCTTGAGTCCACAGCCAAGAATGGGAGTTGGGAGGCTCAGGTTTTGTTCTTAGGTGTTGCTGGAGCTGTTCTGAGGGGCCCTCAGTGAAATGTTTAAAGCCTCTGTGTTAGATGCACCTAAGAAAAAACACTAAAGACCTTTTTACATCAATGTAGGGCCACATCAAACTCACCAGTGACTGCAGGCTCCTAAATACTGTTGAGTGCGTGAGAGCCAAGCATTAGGTCGGACGAGCTGACTCTCAGTCCCTATTAGACAAGTGGCTGGATTTGAGTTGTCAGTATTAGCAATAAGTGGTGTGCTTTTTGGGAGCTTGGAGGGCAAGGATGCAATGTTCTAGGGAGACCTCAGTATTCCCCATCACTGGGCAATGCCAGTCCAAGTGCCGGCTGCTGCGTGTTCAGGAGGAAGCTTGTGCAGCCCTTTTGTCTGGTTGCTCTAGGAGAAGATGGGCTCTGAGGCAGCTGGCAGAAATAACAGGTCCAACTGTTAGTTTTAGGTTTTAGTTTTTTTAGTTTTCCAAAGGCTGTCTTAACCAAGAGTAAGATATTGCTCTTTGGAATATCCTTACCAATGTCATAGCTGAGCTATCAGATATGTCTGCCTGTGTCTGCTGCTCCATAGATGGATTTTGGATTGGATTCGTGCAGTTTCTAGCTTGATTTTTGGCCATGTGCTTGGGCAGGCCTGGGGCAGTGCTGTGTCTCCTGGTGACTCTCCACGCTACCGGAGGAAACTCTTTTTGGAGGAGTCTGTTGCTCCAGTGCCTGTATTGTGCGTGATGTTGGGGAGAGAAGCCTAAAGCTGAAGCCTGCAACGCTGTAATCCCAAAGCTTCAGCCTTTCCCTGCGTGTGCCAAATTCCTTTGGCTGTTAAATAAGAGCAGGAATTTTGAGAGGAGCTTGCAGAGTACAACTTCTGAGCTTGCTTTTAACTTCATGAATAGCAGCAGTGATTTGTCTGACTATGTACTGGAAAACTCTGATTTGTTGACTTTGAAAGATGGGTGGTTTAAGGCAAAAGCTGAGATTTATTCAACTCACCATCTACTTTGACTTCAGAATCACTACGGTATCTTGTACAGGGTTCGTTGTGTCTGCAGAGAGCTGTCTGGTCTCCAACAAGACTTGTCTTTAAATTGGCCCTGGGGATGCTTTGTCAGCCAGAGCTGACAAATACAGCCTGTGAAAGCTAGACTGTGATGAAGGATGCGGCCCTGCTCAGCGGGGGAAACTGAGGCACAGGGTGGGTGGTTCACTTAGGCTAAAGAAAAAGTTGAGTACCAGATCCTTGATCTTTGCTTTGTCCTGCAAAAGTACTTCAGCAGCAAAGGTTCAATTGCCTCATGAATGTGATCTCTGAGAGGGAATAGAAATAGGTAATTTATAGATGAGCTGTATTTGAATGGGCATATGCAGGGAAGTAAAAGCTCATCTTTTGTCTAAAGGAGCGCTTGTCTGGGGAGTGGACAGTCAAATACATGTGTAATCCTGGAGCTGTTTTTTGTGGAAAAGGGGGCTTTGTACATGAAGGACTTGTAAAGAAAGGAGGACAAACAAATAGTTTTCTTGATGTTTGTAGGAAGTTCCCCCGTTTTGAGGGTAGCAAGCAAGCCCTGGGGAAACTTTCTGATGGCTGAGGGTAAGTTGTTTGGAGAAGGGGCTGAGAAAAGCCAAGGGAAGCTCCTTGGAAGTAAAGGATCTTAGAGTGGAAAAGTGTTGGGAAAGAAAAGAGCCAAGGGAGGGTAAGATCTCAAGGACGAGTCATGTACTGGGCTGACTGTCCAAAAGAGGCACATCTGTGTAGGGTCTGGCTATAATAAATTTTTTAGCATCGTTGTGGAGACCAGACTGCTGGGAGTCTGGACCATATGCAGGAGGGTGTCTCGGTCTAAAACGTTGTCTGATGCACGTAGAAGGAGCAAGGAGAGGACTCGGGGAGTGCAAAAGCTCATGGGAACAGGCGTTGCCTTGTGCCGTGTACTAAAGGAAACGGGTCCACGATGAGCCCTGTACATAGCAGGAGTTGTGGGGAAGAACCAGAACAGCAAGAGAGTGTAAAGAGAAAAACAAGGACTGGAGAATCAGATCCATGGTATGGTAAACACTGCAATTTTTTTTGTGTGTCTGCAGCTGGGAGGGGCAGGGAGCTTGGGGGATAGCTCCAGCCCACGAGACGTGTGATGAATTGGTGGGAGCTCTGCCTTGGCTCAGGCAGTGCAGCCTGCTGACTTCTTGTTTGTGTTAGTTACAGGACTCTCATCAGGCCCACGTACAAAATGTCCTACCGAACTGTGACCACGCTGGAGTGGAGGTGCTGTCCTGGCTTCACAGGGAGCAACTGCGAGGAGGGTAAGTTACCTGGCAATTCATCCTTCCTGCAGAACAAAAGGGGGATGTGTGGATGCACCAGCTGGGCTGAGTGGAGCTTTGTTCCTTAATTTGCCCTGTGACTTTCAAGCATAAGAGCAAATCACCTGTTGTTTCCTTCCCTGTCATAGTTGGACTTTTCAGGCGTAGCGTCTGTTCATAGATGTCTGCTGAGGTGTAGGGTATATGCGTAATTGGCATCCCCATTGCAATACCCTAGAAAATGTGTTTTCTCTTTGTCAATGTGCATCTTCTGCATATCCCACCATTCATCACTGCAGCTGATGACAGAAGGTTCCTGAGTGGCTGCTAGCAAAAGTTAGGCCTGCAAGCTCAAAGTTAGGTCCACAAGTGTGTTCCCCGAGAGCTTTGAATTATGTTAGATACCTCCTGTTCCCCTTCCATCCCTGCCCCTGGCTTACTGGGTACAACAGGCAGATTGCCCAATGCACACGACACGGTTCCAAGTTTGGCATCTGATCTGTGACACAGAGAAAACACAAGGCTTTTTCTAAATCTGGAGAAAAAGAAAATCTTCTCCCTTTCTCAGTGATGGACAAAAAGGGCGTGATGTGCATTTTCCTCGGGGACACTCTCTGGTTTAACTATTGTTTCTGAGGCATACAAACAAGCCCAGCTTTCCCATTGAATTTCAGGTTTAGGCTCTGTGGCATCAGCCAAATCCCCCTCAGGGGAGTGTTCATGACCGGAGACCCCCAGGGAAATGGTGCTTTGAGATTGCTAGCCCTTTGCCAAGGGACCCAGCTGGCTGGTAACGACTCGCTGGGCTAATGACTCGCATCCAGCATCTCCAAGATGCCGCAGTCTTGTAGCTGCGCCTAGGTTTCTTTGTGCTGCCCTATCTTGGTGTTAATTGCACAATTCAGGCAAATCTCTAACGAGGAAATTTTCTTGTTAACGTCAGAAAGAATGATGGTTCCAGACAGCAGCTCCCTTTGGGCTGCTGAGGAAACAATAGCTTCTCAGAAGCTCAAGAAAAGCCTTGAAGAGTGGCAAAGCCACCATAAATCACAATCAGCGGGAGCAAACCCTGCCTTTTAGCATGCCCTGTACGGAAGGGAGCCTGGGAAAGAGAAGCTGTTGCATCGGCGTGGCCTTTTACTTGGCCGTGCAGGGAAGTGGGTAATCGGGATTATGGCAGAGCTGTTATTTCCAGAGCAGCCATGGCTCTGCCTGGCCGAGGATCTCAACAAGGACCTGAGAAGGTTGTGTGGAGCCTGCTCGGATCTCTGTAGGTTTGCACAAGTGTGAGTGATTACAGCGGTGCTGCTGGTAAAAAGGAGAGAATCCATCTCCTTCCTATGAAGCCAGATCCGTCTCGGTGACGCTGAGGGGAAATGAAGCCGGCGTGAACCTGTTTGTGAAAGTCAGCAAGGACCTTGCAGGAGCAGGTCTGTGGAATGAGGTGACAATTTTACACAGGTCGTTTCTGAGGTAGAACTGCATTTTGGGGTTTGGATAGTGGCTGTGGAATGTGAGCAAGAAAGCCAGGAGCAAACCCTCACTTTCCTGTGTGAGGTTTTACCTTCTTTTCTATTCCCCTCTAAAACATCTGGAGCTACCGACGGTGCTAGTTGGTGTTTTATTTAAAAAATAAAAAGACATAAACCACCCTCACCCTTTTCCCACCTTTCTAGTGGAGCAGGGATGTGCTAGTTACTTTCTAGAAGCAACTTGCAGTGTGCACAAGACCTCTAAGTGACTAGAAGCATTGAGTTTAAAAGCAAACTGCTTTTAAAAGCATTAAAAAGAAGTGTTTAAAAATAAAATGCTGCTTACATTAATCCTACTGGTAGTGTCAGTTTGAATTTTAGGTTAAAAATGAAGATTATTTTTTAGAGCTTTTTTGCTACTTTTGGCAACCCCATGGAAAGCCTGTTGCAGTCTTTCCTTTCTCCACCCATGAACTGCTCTAAGCGTACGTGTGTGGGTCTCTGCTGCAAACAACAAACAAAAGAGAACAGAGAAATAAACTGAAACAAAACAGAACCAGAGCAATTATGAAGCCACAGCAAATTAGCAGGATAGAGCCTCAAAATGCTTTCATCTTTCTCTTCTTTTCTCGTGTTAATTAAATATTGGGATGAAATCTAATTCTAGTTGTCTGTCCAGCTGGCGCTTCTGAAGTTGATGTGGTGTAGATATGTTTGAAGGCAGACTGGCCTTTCTGTTTGTAACTTGTACATGATGGAAATGCTTTGAATATCTGACAGTCTCTGCTTTTCTCCACTGCCAGTCAAATGGCCACCACAATAGCTCTAGGCTTGCGTTTTGTTGAAGATGCCTCTTGTTTCTAGTGACCAAATGAGCCAAAAGAGAATGAATTAGTCAAGAGCGCTGAGATCTGGTTGGGGAATGATGCATGCATGGTCATGTTGATGAGGTTCCTTTTTCACATGAGTGAGTTTTGCAGCTTGAAATTGAAGAGGTCCTCTCCATGGATTCTTACATTAGTCCCCAGGAAGGTGGATGACGCTTATTCCTTTTGTGCTGTTCTTGAACAGTGCCTTTGAGGGAGCCACTGTATGATCCATCTTCCAGATGGACTATTTTTTTAGCTGCTGTTTTGCGGGGTTGTCTTGCCTCTTTCTGTGCTATATTTTGTTTAGCATTCTGTCAGAGAAGATAAGATGGTGGTGGGACAAATCAAGGAAGCCATGTCAAAGGACTCCCCATCAATCAGGGGTGGCAATGTAGCTATTGCCACGCTATCTGCCTTGTCATCTCCCAACTGCAGCCGGCTGCTCAGTGTTGGGCAAAGGGGACAGCCCATGCAGAGGTCCCAAAATACCACAGCCCCCTGCTGCCTTTGTGAGATGTGCCCTCACGAAGAAATCTCCCCTTTCCCAGCAACATGCTGCTGATAGAGCAAGCTGTTAAATGCAGCTCAAGTCTTACAGAGTGCCTTGACCCTTAGCTAACAAGTTTAGCTTGAGAAAGTAATTGCTTGACTGTCACCAGCTGGCAGGCACCTACTTTAATGGTGAAGGCCGTGTGTTGTTTAGGTTTAAATTATCTTGGGAGTTTAACTCTTGCATTGCATCTGACAGAGCATCATCTGGAGGAAGCGCAGCTCTGAAAGCAGATGCTGCTGCTGCCCCTTGCTTGGCTCTTTAATCACTGAGGTAGGATGGCAGCTTCCAGTGCATTTCCTTCACAAATTCTGCACTGCTCAGAGTTCTCCCACTTCCCTTCCCTGCCTTCCCTTCAAGAAAAGGCATGCCAGCCTCGGGAATTCTCCCGAGGCTTTTCTTTTAGCTGTAGAAAAGTGATCAGCCGGTTGAGTAGATGGTTAAAAATGACCAGTTGTCCAGGACTTTCTAAAAGTTCTTTTGCAATTTTCTTGAACAGAGAAAGAAACTTGATGCAAACACATCTGGTGAATTTAACTGTCAGTAGATGCCAACTTTTGTTTTTCAGTTTGGGGCTTTTTTTGTTTAAACTGGTGCCCAAGCCTAGGACAGGAAATGAATGCTCTGAGCCACCTATACTGCTGACATAAAGAACTTATGGATGAGGGCAGTGCGGAGGTGAAGTGACATAGCTATTGCAGTCATGCATCACGCTGGCTGATTTGAGTCCAAGATGATGCTGACACTTCAACTCTGCCTTTTTTTTTTCCCTCCTTCTTTCTTCCTCCTCCTTCCCTGTGTGACTGAAAGCTTAAAGGCAAGTGAAATCTCTAGGGAGAAGAAAAGTGTCCCTGGCAAGTCGAGGGGCTCAGCACTGCTGTAGAGTTAGCTAGCCAGGAAAGATCTTATTTTTCTTTACAAATTTCACAAATATTTTTCTTGTTTGTATTGTTTAAATTTGGGACAGTAGCCAGTATCCTATTTACCCCAGAAGCAAACTGACAGGAGGCAGCTCAATTGTTTGGGCCAGAAGTGGCTCCAGAGTAACTTTGCCCAACTGAAATGATGCTATTGTGCCTGTGAGGATTAAACTCTTGCTTGTTTAGTGTGTGGGGAAAGAGAATTTGAGCACCCAATCTCGAGAAATAATTAGTTTTTTTTTCTCTCATTTCAGTTCCTGGAATAATTATCTGCTTTTAGTGACTGTTGATTGCATGTTATCGTCTCAATATTTTCAAACCTATTAGTCCCCTGTGCATAGAGTTTTTTAAAGACAAGCAAAAAAATAAGGCCTTTGGTGCTCTTGATGTGATATAGTGCAAAAAATTTGATTTTAGAGTTTAGTGATTATTAGCAATTGTGTTTATGAACTGTTAGATTGTTGCTTTGAGCCTGATTTTAATAATAATCTGATTGGTAGATAGGTATTAAAATATGGTAACTAGCTCTATACTAACCTTCAAAAAATTTTATAAAAGCTCATCAAATGATGGTAATTATAATGAAGTTGATGAATGAAAGCAGCTTTCTGAGAGTGATGTTTGTTTATATAGTGTATATAGATGTTAGATAATACCTGCTTAAATGTTTTCTTCTGTAACAGCGTTTTCTCCGCTCAGAACACAGTTCTGCTTCTGGTTGCTTGTGGTTCTGGTAGCCTTTTCTGGTGTAAGAGAAAAGTTCACCAGAACTTTCCCAAACTACTCTATGATATATTGTCCAATTCCTGTCCTTTATCATGACCACACTGACCACTTGGCAACCTCTGGGTTCAGGCATGACCTTTGTGTCATTTTTTATCTTTTTTTTTTAAGGAGTTCCTGGACTGTGTGATCACTACTGGGAGAACACACAGCCTGCTGAGAGCCTTCTGGCATCAGTGCTGAGCAACTCCTTAAACAATTTCTAAATGTTCATTTTCTCTTTTGATGCAGGGTCAAAAAAAGAAAAAGAATTACAGGTTTTCAAAGACTTTGATATTACATTCCAGCAAATCTGTCGTCTTTAGGGGTTTTGTTTTTGACTTTTTAAAAAATCTGAACAGGGAGAATTTTATTCAGCACCTAATGTCAAAATATTTAGATGGCTAAGTATCTACAGATATTATCT